ACTTACAAACTAATATGAATGTTTAGTCTTAGATTTTTTTCTTTTGCAAATTTTATCCTCACCTGATTTGACAGATTTATTTAAACTGATTGACATTTATAGAGTCATTCCATAACATACACTATTCTCAACTGTTTGTGTGGGGAAGTGAGTAAGCCATAGCAGGAAAAAACCCAATAATTCAGGCTGCACACAACTTCTCTTGGCCTGTACCAAAATGAATAAGTAAAGGTTAGAAGATTATTTCAGTACTACCTTCAGAGGCTAGTTTTCATTGAAAAGGATATCAGTGGAAATTAAAAATCTCAAAAATAATTAAACTTTACCTCATATTCAGAATATTTGAGGCTGATTTTTAAATTCAGAATTGAGTAAGAGAAGTTATTTGCCCATCTCCCTGAAAACCTTGTATGGATTGCTTTTTCTCAGCAGAGACTGAGAGAAATGCAAAGACTTTCCTTGGGGAACTTCGATAAGGATAGTTGATATAGTCTGGCTCTGTGTCCCTACCCAAATCTCATTTCAAATCTTAATCCCCACATGTTGAGGGAAGGACCTGGTAGAAGGTGACTGGATTATAGAAGCAATTTCCCCCATGCTGTTCCTGTGATAGTGAGGGAGTTCTCGTGGAGAGCAGATGGTTTAATAGTGTGACACTCCGCCTTCACTTGCTTTCTCTCCTGCCGCAATGTAAGACGTGCCTTGCTTCCTCTTCGCCTTCTGCCATGATTGTAAGTTTTCTGAGACCTCACCAGTCATGCAGAACTATGAGTCAATTAAATCTTTTTTTTTTATAAATTACCTAGTGTCAGGTAGTATCTTTATAGCAGTGTAATAATGGACCAATACAATTGTTTTATGGGAATCAATTTCTATTGCTCAAGTTTGCTTGGTATGCCCCTAAAATTGATCTTCCTGAAAAATGCGCTTCCAGTCATGTTGATTTCCACCCACCTTTTTGTAATTAGCTTTATATTTTACAATTGAAGGACACATCTCTCTTCATCTGGTGGTCTTATTTAAGTGCTTTGAACTTAGAAAAACATCTGAGAAACAGACAATTTGAAGTATTACACAGATATTGACACAACAAATGATTTTCATGACTGGGCAACAAATCCAATTGCAAGTCAAACACTGTAGTTTCCAATCCTTAGTTTTCTGTACAATAGAAAAAAGACCTAATTAGATTGTCACTTGAAAGATCATCGAAAACATTTTTTGTGTGTGTGATCGCTATGTGATTTTTGCCTTATAACTCTGAAAAAATTCAAAGAATTAAATGACATTGCCATAACAAACCCCTTTCCTTTCCTGTTTACTTATGTGAACATGTTTGCTAAAGGAGTAAGAGAAGAAATGACATCTACATATATTTTTAAAAGAGTAGAATCTATAACATGAAATGCTTCACAGAGGAAGACACAACAGATGAGCCTGTCTTATTCACCTCATTTAAGCAGAATCAATTTACTCCTTAATTTGTTAACATTTAACGGGAGGGTGAATAGAAACTACCAAAGTCAAATTTAAATATTTAATGACTTAAAGTCTGAAATTCTGTGTGAAAGAGATAATTTTGATGGTGGGAGTGGGTAACAAACGAATGGTACTGTAGCTGTCCAAAGTACATTCCAGTTTGCTAACTCAGAAGGCAAGAAATGTTTGCTACTTAGGAATGCAATGGACCTTCCTGTAGTAAATAACATGGTGGGTTCATCATTGATGTTTCTCCTGGATACACATACTATGTAAAATGGACAACTTAATGACCTTTACTCTGCCTTCAGTGAAAAAGGACTGAGTTATCAGATAGTCCTAAGGATGTGTTAATTATTTCATTACCACACTTCAGTGTACTCTGTCATTACAGAAACACTTCTTTACACTAAAAAGGTATAATAAACAAAAAGTCTAAACTAACAAAAAGTGCTTCTAAACCTTTGAACAGTCTTTCAAAACCTATGTCTTCTGCATTTTTTTCTTGTTGTGAGCTATAATGCTTCTCATTCTTCCTTCCTCAAAGAAAATTTACAGACAAGTGTGACTATCTCTACTTAGAGCTAAGTGTATCTTTCAAACAGAAAACCAGCTTCACATGAATTCAGTGATGATCCTTTGAAGGAGCCAGAAGAGCCATATCATTTTATCCTCATACATGACTGAGGGTTATAAAATCCCTATTCCACCTTTAGGACTTGTGCACAACCCACAAACACACACACGCAAATAGCAACATGGGTGAGATTTAGTAAACTAGAGGGACAATCAATTCTAAGTTTTCACTCTAAAACAATTTCATTAGAGATAGTAATGCTGGAAATGGCATTTTATAGTTGACTTCCACCAAATTATGATGCAGCTCAGATTCAAAATCTCTATTGTCTTTGGCAGAAGTTTTAAAAACCAATTTTATTTACTCCAAACTATCTGAACAAAGCCAGCACAGACCCTTTGCAGTTTTTACATCAAGTGCTTCATGCTGTAGTTAAATAAGCAACGGAAATCAAAGGAAGCACTAAGACAAGGAATCAGGACAACATTTATTGATTGGTGGCATTTTAGGGATTTAAAATTTTTGTTTTAGTATGTAACTGCACTTTATTACCATTTTATCCTTAAAATGTAATAAGTACAAACTGCTTCAGTAATGATAGAAAAGCCTTCTCCGCTTTAATGAAAACTTTTAATTGCTACTGAAACTTTTATTATTTCCAAATGGTAACATAAGCAAGAAAAAGTCACTACTTTTATTTGAGGAAAAACTTTAGCAATTCAAATCATTTTGTTCTTGGGTGAATTTTAAGACATTTAAATTTGTTGTATTTATGCTTATTGTTTTCATTTACTTTTGATAAATTAAAACCAAAAAATATGTACACAAGCACACTATTACAAAATTAGCCTCCAATCAGCTATCAAAATACTAGATGCTTACAAACGGCCATCCTCTGTCAGATGTTGGTCTAATCCAGAAAAAAATGTTTATATATTTAGGCTCCTGTACATTTCAGCGTTGACTATGTGAGGCAATATAGGGTGATGGTGAAGAGCTCTGGCTCTGAAGCTCTGCTGTCTGGCTTTGTATTCCAACCCTGATCCTTCCTAGCAGTGCTACCTCTAGAAACTTCTCAGTCCTCAAATTTCTTATCTTTAAAAATGAGGGTGACTAAAAACTAGCATGAAGGGAAGATTTAATAAGATAGTTCATGTAAAACATTAGAAAAGAGCCTGGCACATGGTACACACTTATTAAATATTTAGTTCTAACAAAGTTTTCAGTTGTGAATACATGCACCTCTAGATTGGATTCACCATCCAGTGATATAATTTATTCAATAAACATTTGTTGAGTTTTATTTTATTCTGAACACTGTCCTAAGTAAAGGGGGCAGAGGAATTAATAAGATAATGGTGCCTACTTTTCAGGAACTTACCATTTAAGTGCGAAGTATTTGTGGCCATCTTAATACCTTTCCTAAAGAGTACCATGAAACATACTCTTTCATTAAATCATAAATTTTCCGTTTTCCCCGTAGACTTGGAACTAATGGAGCTTCAGAAAAATTTGACTTTAGTTTCTGAAATCTTAATCATGCTCAGTTTAATAAATAGCTACAGGTTTTTTTCACATTTTAAAATAGATGATTAAATGGTCTAGTCAGATTCCAGCTAGCCAAAACTTGAAAAGCATAGGAAGACAACTATGACTGACACATTTATTTTCCCAAATGCAAACATACTGCAAACATCAGCTGCAGGAAAATAGTGCTATTTACATCTTACGTGACCCACAGTTAACCGAAATTGCACAGGAGTTCAGCACCAAAATGTTAAGGTACCTAAATTAAATTCAACTTGAGATACAATAAGAGGTTCATTTAATCGTAGCTATATCACTTTTCTCAAAGTTCTGAAACTAATTTCCAATATGGTACCTTATATGGCTTTAGTTTTTTCAAACATTCTCATTTATGTCATTACACTCAGAGAATTCATTAAAAAGTAAAATCTTGAAGTTTGGGTATAAGTTCCAACACAATGACTAATGTGGTATTTCAAACATCACAAACTCCAAATGATCTCAAATATGTTGTCCTTTGCTAATTTGCTGTTCCTAAAAATGTGCAATAAATGCAATTAAAAAGGAAAGTATCTTCAATTTAGTTGCAAGATTGACTACGATATTTATCTTCTTACTAGATGTATCATAATAAAAAACCATCTAATACGCATTACATTGTTCAATTCAGGAGGAAATTGGATATTCTCCCTTCCAATTAAAAAAAATAAAGCTTTTTTTTTTTTTGCAACAGTCAATAATGATGGTGTTCTTTCTAGAATACATTGAATATTGCCAAAATAGGTCCTCTAAGGAGTTCACCTACCTAAAGCAATTGAGTAAATGCACAGGCACACGACTCCTTCCTCTCTTTTTCTGTGCCATAAAATCTTCCTTGATTAAAATACTTTTTAAAAACCCTTATGATCCTTTTGAGATTGAGCAGATAAAAACCCTGAAATAATACTCCCTCTTCCCAATGAAATCTCCTTCAATACTGAATAAACTGACACTTCACTTATATGTAAGCTACGGTGAGACTGCATCTCTCAGTCTCCAATCTCCTAACGAATGTATAGTTTGGTAATCTCTTCTTTTGCATCTAAACACACATGTTCCACACCACAGGATCTTCTTGATCCCAGCGAAGGTCCTTGCTTAAGGTATGCGTTTTTCACATCCATTTTATAATCCTTCCAGGGTGCAAATTTCAAAAGGGGCGAACGTGGGTGAAATAAACGAAGAAGGGGAGGGAGGAGACATGATGCCTGGGATTTCTGCCATCCTCCCTGCAACCCAGAATTTGTATATTTTTTCCTCTCTTCAGCCCTCCCCCTCGCTCCCCTCTCGCCCCTTCCCTCCGCAGCAGGAGGGAGGAGGGGCCGCTCGCTGAAGCCGCCACCTGCCGCAGCGTGGAAAAGCTCCAGTTGTCACTTACCCAGCTGGGTGAGAATGGCTCATTTTTGCAGGATCCCTTTTGGACCCCGCGGCAGGTGCGGAGGGTGGGTGCGTGGGCCCCGTGCACGCTGGCGCTGCGACAGTCGCGCTCGCGGGGTGGCTCCTCACTGAGGTTGCCTGTGCTCAGGCACCTGGGCTGGGCCCGCCGCCCCTGGGAGCTCGGGATACCCGCAGCCTCCCGAGCCCCCACCCTCCGGCGGTATCCACAGCCTCCCGGTTGCTAAGGGAGGAGAGAGGCAAGCGCCCAGGATCTGGAGAAGCGGAGGCGCCGCTGAAACCGAGCCTGCGAAAGCTGGAAGTTTTGCCAGCTTCTACCCCTTTTTCTGGGCCCTGAAATGGGTGGAGACCCAGGCGAGCCCCTGCTCTGTTGCTCGGGGGCGCGAGTTCCCCAGGTACCCGTAATCTGAAAACACAAACACACGCGCGTATGGAAACAGCCACAAGCACACATTTTGGCTGTAGTGCTTTCTGCTAGGCCCTGGGGAAGGAAGGACTGGGGAGCAGCTACTGCGTGATGCGGTGGTTTCCAGTGGTAAAACAGCGAATGCAAATTCAAGGAAAAGAAGGAAGTCTCTCAATCTGTTTTGGGTTTTGAATTTGTTTCTGCATCTGTAAGGTATTACAATCGACTCATTTCCTCCTTGGAAAACCCCTACTTGTTCCTGAGATCCCCACTTCCAGCAAGCAGAGCTGACAGTGCTGGCTTTCAGAAGATGGGGGAAAGCACTCGAAACAGTACTTGTATTGGAATGAAGTACATGGAATGCAGGGCTTAGATGAAGCAGCCTGGATTTAAATGAGGATCTTACTGTGGAGGAAGTTTGAGCGCTGGACTCAGATAACCTATTCTTGTTTTGTTCTTGCTTGGTCAAGTGTTTCACAGAATGACTTGATCTCTGGCCTCAGGTTCCTCATGTATAAGCTTTCTAGGGTCTCTATTCTGGGTCAGCCACACTCAGAGTTGGGAAGAACATCACCTGATTAATGTCATTCTGCTTGTCTCCAAGTGGTAAAGGCCCACTGAGTATGACAGAGATCAAACTCCTTCCTGCGACATTCAGGGCTCCACATTACCTGACCCCAGCATCACTCCCCAGCCTCTGTGACCACTTTCTCCATTCTCACTACCTTAAACTCTAGCAATACCAAACTCTTGCACTATTCCTCTAGTGGGAACATATTTTCACCCTTGACTACTTGAAAAACTTCTAATCGCTTCCTCTTTGACATCCTCAGGTGTGCTGATGGCTCTGACCTCTGGGGGCCACTCAGCCAGGATATGCCTCTCTTTTATACTTACACCCTTGCTGAAGTAAATGGCTGCCTTTCCTACTCAAATGCAAGCTCCTCCATTTCATTTTGTACATCTGTTTTATTTATCTATATTCTTAAAAGGGAGCAACAGTTTAATAAATGTTTGCAGCATGAATGAAGGGGTAAAAAAGAAAACTCTTTTGAGTGGTAGCATTTGTTCTGAGTTGTTACTAAATGCTCTCCTCAGCCTTTTATTGAACATTTACTATCTCATTTAATCCTCATCTTTATTTTATGAGATAGGTTTTTTTCTCCATTTCATAGCTATCAAAACTAATAAATAAAGAAATTAATCATTTTTTCTAATATCTACAATGGCTTCCCACTGGAAAAACTAGGATTCAAATCCAGACCTATCTGATTTCAGTCTACAAATGCTTTTAACAATTACAAGTTGATTCATTTTTCCATGGCCCCTATAAATTGCCATAGAAGCCAGATATGCTATACCATTAGAGGTTTTGGACTTGAGTAACCAGAGCCATTACAAGAAAAAAAAAAAAATAGGATGCTAGCTCAGTTGCTTAGATCCTGAGACTGAAGGATTCGAGGCTGCTTTGGGAACCAAATGGCTAGAACTAGACTAAGGCAGAGGTCATCTCCTTTCACCCCTCTACCGCATGTCTATCCCCACTAACAGTGGTTCCCATTTGAGGTTGCCCTTAATGCTCACTCTAACTAGATGTCACCAGGATAAAAATCGGGAGGAGGAAAGGAACAGGAGGAAGAACTAGAAACATACATTATAACTTGCCCAAATGCTCGCAATCCCTAAGGATGATGTAAATAATGTAATCTTATATAGGTGCTAGTTGTTATACAGTAATTCATTTTTGCAAATAGAAAATGGTATTTTCTCACTGGTAGAATGAGAAAGAAAGTTAAGATATACTACTTAGATACTCAGGATTCTGTAGAAAAGATTCCCCAGCACTCTGCAGACAGTGAGGTACCCTCAACAGCATGTATTAATTCATAAATGGGGTTTGAGTTCTCCACCCCTATGAGCTCCACAATTTCACATTTCTGATGAAAACTGCAAGAAAGCTACTAATTTTCACTTCAGAAAATGCTCACTGTGAAAATGTATTGGGAATTTAGCCAGAATGAATTTCTATGTTAATTTCTAGAATGGAGACAGGGAAACAGAATAAAGAAAAAAAAAAAAACTAAATTAAACTGTTTCAAGACCAAATAGTCACTGGAGTCCTTTTCATTTTTTCACAGGAAAAAAAAAGTCCCCAGATGTCCCCAGAAGTGTCAAAAATTTGTAAAAAGATTTCTGTTTTATAGAAAGATCTGTGAAATGAGAGTTGGGGTCAGGAGATTGAGAGAAGTAGAAGGCAGGGTTCGGGGAGAGATAAGCATTACACATATAGTGTTGATTGGATCTTCATTTAGGGTGAACAGCAGCTGGACTTAGGAATCACAGATCTAAACTATCAGTACATCAGTAACTGTCTTATTTGTTTTCTGTTGCTATAAGAGAAGACCACAGATAAGGTAATTTATAATGAAATTTATTTCTTACAGTTCTGGAGGCCGTGAAGTCCAAAGTTAAGAGGCCACATCTGGTGAGGGCTTTCTTGCTGCAACATAACATCACTGAGAGCATCACATGGTGAGAGGGCAAGAACATGTCAGCTCAGGTCTTTCCTTCTCTTCTTATAAAGCCACTAGTGTCATCACTGGGGTTTCTCTTCAATAACCTTATCTAATCCTAATTACCTCCCAAAGGCCCCATCTCCAAATACTATCAACATATGAATTCAGAGATTAAGTTTTCAACGGAAATTTGGAGGACACATTCAAACCATAGCAGTGATCAGATCTCGAATCAGAAGTAGGCAATGTATACTTGCCAACTATATCTTATCCACTGCCTGTTTTAGTACAGTCTGTAAACTCAGAAGGGCTGCTACAGTTTTAAATGCTAGGAAAAATTCAAAAGAATAATAGTATTATATGAAACATGAAAATTATATGAAATTCACATTCTATTGTTAATAAATAAAGTTTTATGGGAATATGCCCACAACCATTTTTTTTTTTTACAAATAACCTATGCTTTCATGTAATAATGGCAGAGTAGTTGCAGCAGTGACTTTATGCCCCATGAAACCTACAATGTTGCTATCTTTCCCATTACGAAGAAGTTTACCTCTGGCCTATCTTATCACTACAACTGGAGATGTAACTTGTCCTCATAGACTTCAAGAACAAAGACTAGCACTGTATTCCCAGTATCTATCACCTCTGTGCCTCTCACAGAAGGTGCTGAATAAATAGGCAAATGAAGGAATTAATGAATAGACTGGAGAAATAAGTCTTCCCATGCATTTATAATTCTCCTGAAAGACAGAGTTCATGTTATCAAGACTTTCTCCCCAGATGTAATCCCAAAGGCATTTCGGAGATCGTCAAGGCTACCACTCCCATTTTGGGTCTAGAGTGTCAGGGCCTTAAAGCATGATGATTTGCTGTGATCCAGGGCTACCTTCTTTATCATCATTATATAAGACCTCAGTGGGAGGTGAGTAAGGTAAGCATTTCATCAGGACATGCTCCTTTGTGCAGAAGGTTAAGTTTGCAAGAGAGCTTCCTAATACCTTACATTCCTCAATGTTAGCTTGGTTTACTCAAAACTATCACATTGAGAGGCTGAAGAATGAAGTGCCAATGTGCAAAATTTAACTTCCAACCTTTGATAATAAGGAGTGCACTGCCTTGAAATTGTTTTATGTGGTCTGAATGTCCCCCAAAATTCATGTGTTGATATTTAATCACCGATGTGATTGTATTAACAGGTAAGTCTTTAGGACATGATTAAGACATGAGAGTAAAACCTCGTGAATGCGATTAAGGCCCTTATAAAAGGGTGAATGGATTCACTGCCTCTGTCTGTTTTGCCATATGGGACACAGTTTCACCCTCTCCGGAGAATACAATAATCAGCTACCATCTTGGAAGCAAAAAGCAGCCCTCACCAGACACCAAACCTTCTAATGCTTTCATCTTTGGCTCCCAGCCTCTAGAACAGTGAGAGCTGAGTTTCTATTCTTATAAATGATCCAGCTTGTAGTTTTTTGTTATAGTAGCACATACAGACTAAAACAATAAGCTTAATTCCAGAGATCTGTTTATTATGGCATCAGATCTAGGAAAGGCCGAGCAGACATATTCAAAGAAGAAAGCGACAAACCCAAAGGTATATCGCCAATTTACAGTTCTGAACAACCTGGATAGGCAAGCTGTCTCCAGATCCTTCCATCCCTATTTTTCAGTTGGATCAAATGTGCAAACTGATGAGTTGGAATGGGGACAGCCAATTGACTTATTTAGCAGCCACCAGAAATCAGTGACATTTTCTAGGCCTGTGGTCTCAGAGATGAACAGAACTCCTATCTTCTCTCAAATTTGAAGTCTATTGGGTAAAATGACATGCAAAGAATGACAAGCAAAGTGCCTAATGCTGTGATGCAAACGTGTGTAAGGTACAACATGGAGTGTCTTCTAACTAATGTTCCTGCCCCTCACCCCACAACAGGTCCAGCTATGTACCCACTGTCTCTGATGCTAACATCACTTCACAATAACCACATTATTACTTCTTCTACCCTTGAGACCCTGATTATTTCTCACCATCCTCTCCCAGAGATTCTATACTAGGAGAGGGAAGGGAATGTCAATGTTGGACAAGAAGAGAAGAAGAAGAGAAACATAAAGGTCATTGGAGAGAAATAACTACTAAGAGAGCTCCAAGGAGAATAAGGGACATTTATTTTTACATGATACTTCTGATAAATGCATTCTCCACCCCACCCCAAAATGTTTGTCTAGAGAATTCAGGAAGAACTCACAGAAGAGTCAGGGCTTAAGATGAGGCTTAAAAGATATGTAGGACTTGGCTGTGGAGATGGAAGTTGGGGAAAAGAGGCAAGTCTTCCCCATGCCAAGACTCTCCATCAAAGCCTCTCCAGGTGAGGGTGGACTCTGTCTCTGTAGACACTGTCCCAGCTTCTGTAACCTGAATATTCATGGAGGCTGTGATTTGGAACCAAGGAAAGGAGAGGAGAAAGAGGAATGGTAGGAGGAGATAATTTCATC